ATGTTTTCATAATTCAATTAAATCTCGAATAATATTAATAACTTCCTTCACTGTTTTTTTTTCAATGTACATTCGTTGGTAATTCTCAGATTTTTAAACATTACTTCACGTCATTGTTATCATTACCTCACGTCATTGTTATCATTACGCACACGTAATGAGTACAAAAAGTAGATAAAATTGAATAATTGAAAACAATGAATTATTCCACAGAAAAAAAATCGCGCCCACCATGTGCCTGGATTTTTCACATTTATCAATAAATGGAATGCAAAACCGCAATTTCATTTCGCAATTTCATCGAGGAGTGACAAACGCTGTGGAATGTTATTGTTCCATAATTTTATTCCATTCATGTCGAGAAAATGCGAAAGAAGCGTGTGAAATCCATGGGATCACGTACAGAGGGAAGTGCTTCTTGTTCTCGCCTCAACCAGGAAGCGAATCTGTGGTTTGAATTGTGGGAAGATTATACCCCCAGAGATTCAAAAAAAAAGGTGATATTATTTAGCCCCTTGAAAACCAGCTCGAAATACAGCTACTGTCCTGCTGAGAAGAGTCTTCAGCATCTTGGCTCAACGGAGATATGGAATGATATCCTGGAGTATGTCGTCTTTAACGTCTAAATTTCTGCCGAGTCCCTCGATCAACAGAACACTCAGTACGACATTTATGAAGGCACTGTCTTGTTGAACCTTGTAATGGATCAAGGCTGAGTAAAATTCTTTCATGACTGCAGTTAGGTTGACCTACATCGATAAACAGATTATTAATTGTCGAAATTGGTCTTGATGGGTGAGCTGCATACATTTTTAAGACCCATTTTATTCGTCATGTGTCTCTTCATGATATTTTCGATGGATGTCTTGAAGCCGTTTGGATCTGGTGTCATGTGGCTGCTGTGTCGCATTATATAGTCACCCGCCAGGGCACCCTGAAAACATTTTTACTTTGAATTAATTTTTATCTCGTATCACTTATCGTGGGAAATCGTGAAAATGTTAAAAATTCAAAAAATGATTCCCCAAATTTTCCATCCACTGAAAATTCAATTGTATCTGATCATGAATTTTTATGAAGAGTATAATTAATTTAATTTCAATATCTCGTTTAAAATTAATTATCTTTTAATATACAATCCAATTATCTTGACGTTTCGTTTGTTTTTTTGGTTTTTTAGTAACAGAGTGAGTTTTTCATGGAAATTCAATTCAAACTCGTGTAAGTGAAAAGATATTTGCAAACATATTTTACTCGGAATGAGATGTAACACTTTGTTAACTCATTACGTCGCCTGTGACAATCGAATGAAGAACATCCCGTAGGTTCTGCAAACATCGATCATTGAGAGATGAAACAAGTCCGCAATCCAGAATCACGAGACGTGGTCCTCTGCTGGAGCAAAATGGCAAGATTTGCTGATGAAATCTCTCCTGCACTAGAATGTTCCCAGGGTGTAGGTCGCAGTGGAAGAAATTATCCTCAAACACCTGCAGTTCATCAGATTAATTATATTTTACTCTTCGAAGTTCCACCGAAAAGGCACTGTACCATTTTCATAACCAGGGGAATGGCAATCTTGACTAATTGTTTCTTCAACTCAGCATGATCCGACGATTTGAGATAACCCGAGATATGCTCACCCTCGTGATAACTCTCAACGAGAATATTGCGGGTTGTTAAGTTGTTCAGGGGAGTGGGAAAAATAACCGCATGGTTTTTGGAAAAATTTGAGGAGAACCGCTGGAGATTGTGGGCTTCTAGCTTCATGTCCAACTTCAATCCATTAAATTCAAATAATGGAAATAGCAATTATTATTGCATCATGGGACATGACCTAATTTTTTTTCAGCATTTGTGAAAGAATTTTTTACGCAGATTAAGAAATTATTGGTTTGTTATAAAAATTGTGAAGTAAATTATGAAAATAATTTCACTTGATTCCGCATCATCGATGCAAACTCCTTGGTGCAACCAGGAAGATCCAGCCATCGAAGAGAAGGAACCAAATGTGATATCAAAACGGAAAACAACTCAATCATGAATAGATCAGTCCTAGAAAAATAGGAGAATTTATACAATTTAATAACTTCGGAAATGTGTGCATTTGTAAATGAAATTCACTCTACGTAATTTTCCACCCTAGGATGTACAACTTTTATAACAACAGGTATCAATTCCTCGACTTCTAGCTTTTCAGGAACTTCTTCGGTTGTTGTAAAATATGAATCTGCAAATTATCTGATTTTTAAAATCCGACAGTAAAATCGGCCATTGGCGTTAGGACATCGCCCATTGCTTACTGATCAAATCCACGACCAAGCCGATTCCCAATAATTCTAAAACTGAAAATATCATTCCATTACATTCAATATTCTAACGAGATCTTTTCCTTACGCTGTTACAATTAATT